ATAAAAACACCCCTGGGGCTGGCCCAGGCCTTCTGTAGCTGTGCCAGCCCTGATCTGCCTTGGCTGCCCTCTGTCCTGCCATGCCTGATGCTCCCAAGCTCCCTGGTGCCCACCCCTCCCACAGCCTGTCCTTGGCCCACTGTCCAAGCCCTCCTCTTTGCAGAGGTTGCCCCCTGGTGGCCATGCTGAGCATGGCCTGAGTCGGTAGTCTGCCTTGCCTCCAGCTCTTTCTCAGGGAAAGGGAGCCTAGTGTGTGACCTCGCATAGGGCTAGCTCCTGACAATGACACCACACAGTTGATCATGTGAGTGCTGTGTGTCACACCTTTTCCAGAGGCAGATTTGAATTTGGGAAGATAAAGGGGCAGGGAGCTTGGACCCCTGTCTGGACCCCTGTCCCTGCAGGTGCCCAGTGGTTTAGCCTAAGCATTTCCTTCAACTGCACCCCAGACAGCTGTGGGGATATGGCGAGAGATGCCTGGCTCTCCTGGGCATGGGCTACGCCTTTCCCAAGAGAGTGTCACCCAGGACAGCGCTGCTCTGGCCTGGCTACTGTCCTCTATGCTGTGGGGCTGGGGTGAGGGTTGGAACCTCATCTCTGTGCCCTGGAGGGCCTGGGCTGCCATGCTGGTCTGGTTCTGAGCACCAGGGAAGCCCTGCACCATCTGCTCCAGGGATCCGCTCTGCACTGCTGGGACGCTGGCGGCCGCGCCAGGGCTCTCTGGCCAGAGGGACTCACTAAATGCTTTGGGTACAGATATACGGGTCTGATGGGCAGGGGACCACACAGACAAAGTTCTCTCGTGCCTTCCTCAGTTGGGGTGAGTACTGAGGAGGTTGCCCCTATGGGTATGGCTAGGGGTGGCTATGGATTTTGTTTGTTTAGTCCTGGGCATTGAACCCTGGATCTTCACACTGAGTTAAATCTCCAGCCTTTAAAATATTTAACATTTTGAGGTAAGGTCTCCTTGAGTCTTGTTGCCTGGGATGGGCTCCCAGTTACTGTCATCCTGTCGCAGCCTCCTGATGTGCTGGGATTGCAGGCGTGCACCCCTGCCCAGCCATCCCTGTGTGTTCTTGGCTATATCCCACTGTCCTTCCGAGGGTGGGTCTGGGCTGCTGCCTGACCTCTGGCTCCTGCTGCAAGCCTCTGGGTGTGCACCTGGTGCAGCTGGGGAAAATGGTGGGGGACTCCAAGGGTGGATAGGAAGTCAAACTGGTGGAAGGCCAGGCATCTCCGTGCCCTCCTCTTCCTGGGCTGTCGCAGGCTGGCCTGCAGCAGGAATGCTCTCTTTCCCTTCTCTCCACCTGGAGGAGCTCAACCCCACTGGTTGCTTCTTCCAGGAAGCCTCTGGATTGCTGGACTGACTCCTGCCCTCTTTGCCTCAGCCCCCTTTTGTCTTTGCTCCTGTGAGTCCTTTACAAGGGTGTCACTGGGAGCTGAGGCCTGTGTTTTAGCGTTAGTGTGGGCCATCCTGGCCCAAGGTTGGCAATGTGTCTGTACCAGGGGAAAAAAGAGGCCCTGAACCCTATAGATTGATGGGGCACTGGCCATCTAAGTGTCCCTGACACCTTTGCTTGGACTGAAAAGCTGAGATCTCCCCCTGGGTCCAGCTCTGCTCTCAATGGGAGGTGCGGGGGGTGCTCACCCATGTTTGTCTGTGTCTGAGAGCTGCCCAGAGCCAGTGTGCCTGAGGGACCCTGGGACCTGAGACATTGCACATGGGTAAGACAAAAATCCACCTACTCTTCACTCAGCCAGTGCAAATCTGGCACTCATAGCAATTGTGGCCCAGAAGGCTTCCTGAGGGAAGGGCCATCCCAGCCTGATAGAGGCCAGGAGGGTGGCTGAAGGGGGTGAGGTGGCAAGGAGGAGCAGAGGTCTGGGGGTCCCTGAGTAGGAGCGGGGTCCAAGCGGGGCAGGTGAGGATGGAGCTGTGGAGAACCTACTGCTAGGAGAACCCATAGCCCTGGTCTTGCTCAGCACTGCCCTCACCTCTGTCTCCAGGTTTCCCTTTATTTTCTGGGAATCCAGAGGCTTGCCTTGCTGGATAAATATTTAATAGTCAGAAGCAATTTATTTTTCTTTCTTTCTTTCTTTCTTTCTTTCTTTTCTTTTCTTTCTTTTTTTTTTTTTTTTTTTTTTTTTTTTTTGGTGGAACTGGGGATTGAACTCAGGCCGTTGTGCTTGCCAGGGAAGTGCTTATACCACTGAGCCATCTCTCCGGCCCATAATTTCTGAAATGAAAAACTAGATCTGGGCCCAGGAGACCTGGGGTGGAGGCCGTGCTCCAACTCCCTGAATCCCTGGCACTGTGGCAGACCTTGCAGCCCCTGGTGGCACCCTGCGGGTCTTTTCCTGCCCCATGTGTGGAAGGGGTGCATCTTCCTCAGAGCCTATGGCTTCTGTTTCTCAGGGGTCCACTGAGGCTTGCAGGCTGCCCCCAGGCAGAGCGCCTCAAGCCATGGTCTTGCCTGGACACAGCATGGCTGCTGAGGCAGAGAAGAGCAGCCAGGGCACAGGACAGGATGACTAGCGGCCTCCCATGAGCAATATGGCCCGGGCCCCTCAGGTCCTGCCCACAGCTGGGCCCTGCCCACCAGGGCTGCCCACCAGGGCTGCCCAGGCACACGCATCCGGGAGGTCAGGAGGCTCTGTGACTCAGCATGTCCAGGCCAGGTCTAGGCTTGGGCCACAGGCCTCCACCTGCCCCAGGCAGGGGACCAGAGCCAGGGCCACCGTTAGGCCACTGTGCCTGGTGGAGTACATGTCCCTCAGCCCATGTTTTCCAAGAGTGAGAGCAGGGCTCTTTGTGGGCAGTGCATTTCTGGCCTTGTGCTCCTGGGTGGCAGTGGCACAAAGCCCTCTCCTGACACAGTCCTTGGGAATGCCCTGCTCAAACCTTGGCCCTCCTGCCTGCTGACTCACTCCCAGCTGACCCCAGCCCCACCCGGCCCTGCTAGCACCAAGCTCCCATGGAGCCCGGGAGCTGAGCCAGGTCCTAGCATGCAGTGGGCACTATCGGCCCACCTGGATGCTCAGGTCCCTAGGTGGGCCGATAGTGCCCACTGCACACTGTCCTTCTTCTGGCCCAGCCTCCTGAGCCAGAGTAGTGCAGGGCGTCCCTGGAGCTGAGACAGCGGGCAAGGCTGTCAGGGAGGGAAGGAGCCCCTGCAGGAACGGACAGCAGTCAGGACCAGCCTATGGCGGGGCACCAGCCCAACCCTTCCCTCCTGCAAGCCCACCTGGGCCCCCGGCCTCCAGCACCCAGCACCCATCCCAACCATGTGCCGAGTAGATGCACAACTGTGCAGGGGGCTACAGAGGGCCTGGGATGCACAGCCTCCTGATGCAGACACTACTGGGAGGGTTGTGCCTCTGGCTGGGGAAGGACACTGGGCACACAGGGGACCAGAGCTGCGAGACCTGGGCACAGCTGAAGGGGGAGGCACAGGCTCCTGCCATGGCCCAGAGGAGCAGAAGCCAGGGGCAGCAGCCAGAACTGGGCAGTACTTGGTGCTGGGCTTAGATGGGGCTTGAATGTTTTGTTTTGTTTTTTTGCAGAACTGGGGATTGAACTCAGGCATCTACTGAGCCATTTCCCTGGCCCAGGGCTTGGATGGTTTGGACCTTCATGATTGGGAGAATATGGTGGCAGCCTGGCAGGTCTACTGGGCCAGGTATGGCCTGGGGAGCTGACCACCTGGCCAGAGGGCCAGCAGCCCAGAGTTCCTGCAGGGCACAGGAGTAGCCTGGCCTGCTGTACCCTCGCACTGTGTGTTTGTTCTCTTCTCTGTGACCATGAGGTTTTCACAGCAGCCTGTTTAGGGTGGTGTTGGGGGTCTGGAGGAGCCCGGGTGCCGTTCAGTGCCTTGCCTTCCAGGACCAGGGGTGCCTCATGCCACTCACCCCACTGCCCATCGCACTCGCTGGCTGTCCCTCGTGGTGGGCCTTGGGCCTGCCTGGGCCCTGCTCTTGTGATCCTGGTTTCGCAGCCACCATCACCAGCCATCATCTGGTGTGCTGGGAAGCACTGTGGGTAGTGGTCATTCTCATGCTGACCACTGGCCACCCAGGGCTGGAACCTGGGCTGGGCACCCAGCTGTGTGGGCCTGCTATGACCTGCCTGCGGGTGCAGGTACCTACAGCTGCCAGCCGGGTCTACCCCCAGCAGTGGGTGCAGGGGAGGGTGACTCCACAGCTGTGAGCCCTGCCCAGTCCTGCAAGGCATGCAGACCTAGTAGGGCTGGGAGGGGCAGGCTGAGCAGCAGAGCCCTGGACATGGGGACCAGGTCCTGGGATGGGGAGGTGTTTCCACAGGATGGAGGCAGTAGGCCCTGAGAAGTGAGGCTGACACATGTGAGCCAGCAGGTATTGAGGTCAGGCTGTCTCCAGGCCCAGCCTGTCCTTGGCTTTTGTTTTCTTTTCTTTTTTTAAGACAGGGTCTTGCTGCATAGTTCAGGCTGGCCTTGAACTCACTGTGTGGCCCAGGCTGGCTTTGAATTTTCAGTGATCCTTCTGCTTCAGCCTGTAGAGTGCTGGGATTACTGGTGTGTGTCACTAGGTCCAGCCTGCCCTTGGACAGTGCCTCCCTTTGCCTTTCTGCATCCCAGCCAGCATAGCTCTGAGCTGCTGCCTGGCACCCACAGGGAAACTGAGGCCAGGCCTGGCAGGGGCTGCCTCATGTCTGGCTGTCCATGTAGCAGGCCTGTGCTTGCTGGCTCACATAGGCCAGCAAGGGTGTGACTCAGAAGGCAGGCGTTTCCTCCAGAGTCAGCTGCCTAGGCTGGGGGGGGGCTGGGTGGGGTCCCCCTCAGCTTGAAGAGGCTGGGCACTGGGGGCTGGCCCTCTCAGCCTGTGAGGGAGCTGCCCCGCGCCCGCTCGCTGTGCCTGCAGAAGCTGGGGTCTGGGCAAGCCCAGCCTGCCTGACAGGGCGGGAAGGACAGTGGGGAGAGGCGGGAGGGGGCAGGAGGTGGAGCTGGGCTCTTTGGGACCTCTGGTGTGCACCAGGCAGCTCCCTGCCCCGGCCCCTGCCCCTTCAGCCTGGGCATCTGCCCCGCACAGCTCAGCAGGTCAGTGGGGCCAGGCGGCAGCAGTGAGGGGCTGGGGGGCTGGTGTTGAGGGCAGCTCCAGCTAACTTGTGCCAGGGCCAGCGGGCTGGGAGGGCGTTGGGCCATCACGGGCCACCAGACTCTAGGGCCTCCTGGCTCCCAAAGCAGCTGGCCCCAGGCGAGCGAGGGGAGGGCCGTGGCCCTGGCAACTGTTTGGGGAAAGCCTTCACCGTAAGGGGCAGTGATACCAGGCACTCCCCATGGCCTGCCCTCTCAGCAGTGGGGCTTGCAGATCCAAGCTGGCCTGAATGAGCCTAGGGTCTGGGGTTGGGTGGGGTCACAGAGGGCACTCAGGCATGAGCTGGCTTGCTTTCCTGAGGGAGCCAGGGGATGAAAGCCCAGGGCGGTGGCCACTCCATCATGGGTCACACTGCTCACAGAAAGGCCCGGGACTGGGTGGCCCCCTGGGAGGGAATGGGCTGTACCTGCTGGCTGATGCATCCCTTGCATCAGGGCACACGCGCCTCCTGTCTCCCTTTCTCCAGATGGCCTCGCCCTGCTGGCTGCCCCTGCAGTCCCAGGACTTGGGTCCTGAAGAAGGGCGGGAGGGGCTCAGCCCTTGGCAGGAGCTTGGACCAGTTCCTCCCCCTCCTCCCCCTCCACTCCTGGCACTAGCATTTATTATGCACCCACTGTGTGCCAAGATCTGAGTGCTGTATGGGCCAGTGCCCAGGGGACCGGGGATCAGGCATGTCCAGAAGTGGTGGCAGGATGAGCAGACCCAGCGTGCTGGGGCCCAGGCAGGAATAGCTTTTTTTTTTAAGAGTCAGTCTTTATTTATTTATTTTGTTTTCATTTTATGTATATGGTACAGGGTCTCACTACGCAGCTCAGACTCATAGTGACCCTCCTATCTTTAGCCTCCCCAGTGCTGGGATTACAGGTGTGCGCCAGCACGCCTGGACTCGGTCACTGACCAGCTCGGTGCACCTTGGGGTGGGGCCCACACGGCATGTGTGACAGTGACCAAACCCTGGTCCATGCGCTTGCCAAAGCAGGTGCTTAGTCCACTGAGCTATCTTGCCGGCCAAGGAGCAACTCTGGATGAATGGCACACATGAGCTACAGAAGGCTGTTTCAGGAGAGGGTGGCAGGAACAGCCTGTGGGTACAGCGGGAGTTGCTGTGCATGGGAGGAATCCTGTCAAACTCTGGCTCCTGGGTGGCTCTGTCTCCTCCCCTAGTTATCTGCAGAACCCATCAGAAGAGTGTGGGCTGGTTCTCAGCTGCTGGGTGTGCCCCGTAATGGCCCCGTAATGGTCAGCAGAGCCTAGTAATGCTCCAGGCTGGGCCTGGCCCAAGCGTAAGTCAAGGCCTTTGGCTGGATGCCAGGCCCCATGCCCCAGGGAGTGCTGCCTCAGTCTCCTGCTGCCAGGGCACCTTAGGGTCAGTCCCTGGCACTTAGAGCTGGCCTGGCTGGCACCAGTGTCCCCCACCCCCCACGCACACACATTTGGGCCACCCTGCTGCCTGGTGAAACACAAACCTAATGCCATGCTGATGGCCAGACCAGAAAACACAAGGTTTGGACACAGACCAGGGCTAGGCTCAGGCCAGTGGTTTCTTTCTGAACCTGCTACCACACCCCAGAGGCAGGTACGTGCGGGTCCCTGGGCAGGCGGGCTGCGCCCCCCTCCCCGCACCTGCCCTCCCTTCTGGCAGGGTGCTCAGGATCCACTCTAGAATGGCTCACTCCTGGACTCAGCCTGTTCCACCTAGGCCCTCTGAGGGTGCAGGGACGGGTGGAAGCTTAGTGGTGGTATCTGAGGTCCTATGGAGGGACAGGTGTCTTCGAGGTGCCAGGTGCCAGTGTGAGTTTAGCTGGGGTGTGCTCAGGTGTGTTACTTCCATGTGGTGTTTGTCAACAGCCAGTGTCCCTACCTCAGTGCCGGTGCTGGATTGTGGACAGAAGGCTCCTGTGGCAGGGCTGGATGGGCAGGATGTCCCCCTTCCTGTTTGTGTGTCCCTGGGCTGGGCTCATGCCAGCACTGGGGTGCAGAGGGGCCTGGCCACACCCCAGCTGTGTGGTCATGAGCCAGCTGTGCCACTCCCTGGGCCCTGCATGTTGGTATGGGCTGGGTGAACCTTGCCAAGCCGTGCTAGGCCCTGCCATTCCTGGTTCCCAGTGCAGGGTGTGCCCATAGCCTCCCACCTGGAACACCTTTGCTCATAGCTCTGAGGCTCCCCTGAACAGATTTGGGGTACAGTTTCTTGGGGCTGGGTGGGGTCTTGCCTCACAGAGGGAGGGGCCTAGCTTGCTTACTGCCCTGAGTTTGTGACCCCTACCGAGCAGGTCACCTGCCCCCTCACGGACCCTCCCTGGTCTGCATGAGAGCCCCTTCCCTGCTGGGAATCAGGCTGGGCTGGGCTGGAGAGTCACCTTGCCATTACCCACGGAAATGGCCCTGGGCAGGGTGGGCTCTGCAGGCCCTGAGGTACTTGCCTTACCTTGGGAAGGGGCTCTACTGCTCTGGTCTTGGCACCTTTCTATGTCACCCATCAGGACTCGCCTTGGGGATGGAAAGGGAGGCTTGAGCGTGAGAGGGAAGCCAAGGCTCAGTGAGCATGTGCTAACTCGCCGTGTTCTGGCTTCCAGGAAGGGAGCTGGCCCAGAAACCACACCTGGCCCCATCCCATGCCGCTCAGAACCCACTAAAGTTATGACACACCTGGTGGGGCAGGGGTCCCCAGGGTGGCTGTGGGCAGAGGCGGGGACTTCAAATGTTTGGGGTGCAGCATAATGGGATCCTGTGGGCAGGCTGGTGCTGAGTGATGGGCGAGGTGGATCGGGGAGGGGGCAAAACCCACCTGGCCGAGGGTTGCCCTGTGGGAGAAGCAGGGCTTCCCTTCTCACTTGGTGGGTGGTAGGGCCTGGGGGGACCAGGGTGCTGAGTGCTGACTCCTTGCCTAAGGTGGGCTTTACAGAGGTGGAAACTGAATGTGGCTCTGCTGAGGGACTCTAGGGAGCAGGAATGGAAGGCAGGGGTGGGGGGAGGGCTTCCACAGCTCCAGGCCTCCTCCCAACCCCCTTGCCCACTGAAGCCAGCCGAAGGATATCTAGGATACCATCCCTCCTCCCAGAGCCAGGCCCGGCTGGAGCTGCCTCAGAGGGCAGAGAGGCCTGAGAGGGAGCTAGGAGTGGCTGGAGCTCCCCCATCTGGGTGAGATCCAGCCCCACGGGCTTATGTGGGCTCAGGGCACACTGAGCAGAGCTGCAGTCAGACCCCCATGCCATGGCCAGCTCCCCGTCTTCTCAGGAGTGAGTTCTAGGGCCACAGCGCCCACCATGGGGTAGGAAGCACATGGGTCCCCAGGGGGAGGCACCCTGTGGGATGGGGGTGTGCACACATACGATCCTCAGCTATGAAGGCTGCACCTTGGGAACTGACCAGGAATTGGGCTCTTGAAGCCTTGGGGACCCCTGGTGGGCATCTGCACCCCATTATGAGGGAAGTTGTCCCTGGGACCCAGCCTGTGTGTGGAGTTGGAGTCCAATCAGCACTGTTTTTTTGTTTTTTCCTTTAAACATTTAATGCCAGTCAATGACCTACCTGGGCCTAGAGCCCTGTTTATGGGAGGTTTTGGTTTTTTTCTGTGTTCCAATAAAATTTTATTCACAAAACCAGGCAGTGGGCTGGGTTAAGCCCCCTGTAATATACTGATTTCCTGTCTCCTTAGAAATAAACATAGTACTTGGGATAGTGAAGGCATTTTGAGTCATAAAACATCACTTTATTTTTTTGGCAGAACTGGGGATTGAACTCAGGCCTTTGTACTTGCCAGGCAAGCACGTATTCTACTGAACCATCTCCCTGGCTCCTAAAACATCACTTTAAAAACCCAAAGAGCCAAAGCCTGCAAAGAGTGCTTGGCCGGTCAGTGCCCTTGCTCCAGGTGAGCTGGCAGCACGGGCTGGCATTCACAGGCGGTCACACCCTCTGCAGCTTCCTGCACAGTACTGTTTCTTGATTGGTCTCAATCCTCAGACCTCTTGGCATGAAGTCTGTCATTTCTTTGCTTTGATTTTAGGTAGAATTTTAAAGTTTTTGTTGAGGAAGAGTGCAAATTGGTCACCCCTAGTGGCCAGCCACCCTTCTCCCAAAGGTGTCCTGCTGCCCCACACCCCTGGCATCCTCTGGGGTGCTCCTTAGGGTGCTCCTCAAGGGGCACCTTGGGTCCTCATGTGACTCTGCATCGTGGTGCCCTGAAGTTAAAGGCCTTGGATGCCATTCTGAGTGTTAGCTACAACCTGTGCCTTCATTTGTGAATTCCCTCTCTAACGTTTTTTTCTAGTGGGTTGTCTTTTTAAAAATTTTATTTTTTATATATTCAGTATAGGGTTGACAGGGTCTCACTATACAGATTGGACTCATACTGATCCTCCTGTTTTCAGCCTCCCAAGCACTGGGATTACAGGCATGCGCCACCATGCCCAGTCTCAATCACCCGGGGGCAGGGCTGGCATGGCAAGCCGGGGATTGAACCCCAGCCCCTGCGTCTGCCTAAGCAGGTACTCCCCTGAGCTTTCTGCACCCCTTGTTTTTGACACTGGAATCAAACTCCTGGCCTTGCTAGTGTGAGGCAGGTGAGTGTGCCGCCACCCAGCTGTGCTTGCAGGCCTGATACGGCTCATCCTCTGGGGCTGCACTGTAACCTCTGACCTGCAGAGGGCCTGTGTTTTCTGGGGCTGAGGTGTGGGTTTCTCAGGTGCCCCTCACAGCCTCTGCCAGGCTCGGAGAGGAAGATTTCCCATGACCTGGGCCTCAGCGTGGCTGATTTTAATCTGCATTTCCCCAGGACAATATGTGGAGCGCCTTTTCTAGTGCTTATTGGTCATGTGTGTGTCTTGTTCTGTGAAATATCTGTTCAAATCTTTAATTATTTAATTAACTAATTTTATTTTGGTTTAGTTTTGGGGTTTTTGAGACAGGGTCTAGCTATGCTATTCAGGCTGAACTTGGGCTTACTTTGTAGCCCAGGCTGGTCTCCAATTCTCAATGTTTCTCCTTGAGTGCTGGGATCACAGGCGTGTGCCACGACATCCAGCTTAATTTGTGTGTGTGTGTGTGTGTGTGTGTGTGTGTGTGTGTGTGTGTGTGTGACAGGATCTTCTACATAGTTCAGGCTGAGCTTGAACTCACTATGTAGCTCAGGAGGGCCTTGAATCCTCCTGCCTCAGCCTCCTGAGTGCTGGAATTACAGGTGTGTACCACCATGCCCAGCTTCAAATCTTTAATCTTTAACCTTTTTTTGGATTGATATATTAACACATAAAATACTTAATTATATATATGATATATATGATATATATATATCTGTGGTATACATGTGTTTATAACATATATTTTATTTTATTTCTTTTTATGCATTTGGTACAGGGTCTCACTATGCAGCTCGAACTCGTAGTGATCCTCCTGTTGTCAGCCTCCCCAGCGCTGGATTGCAGGCTCGTGCCACCATGCCCAGACTCAGTCTCTGGCTCAGAGTGCCTGGATCAGGGCCAGTGCAGCATGTGGTGCTGGGGGTCAAACCCCAGGCCCTGTGCTTGCTTAAGCAGGTGCTTAGTCTGCTGAGCTATCTCGCTGACCCTGTTTATAACATACTTGTGCCTGTTCCATGTTGGTTCTTCTCCACGCTCATCAGCTACATCAGTCCTGTCTTCAGGTGGCTGTTTATGGGTGAGGTGATACAGCTCTGAGCCTTGATGTGTCTTCTAGTGACTCTCGGCAAGCATTATGCAGAGCTGGACCCTTGATGCCTCAGGGATCCAACTTTCACATTCTAGTTTTCTTGTGCTTTTCTTCTCCATCTGTTAAAGTCTACAGTATTCCTGTGTCATAAACTATATGGCTCCATAAAGGTATAGCTTGTTCATCCTAAAGCCTACCCTGCAATTCAGCTGTTTATGGTAACTTGACAGGATTTGCCAACCACACCAGATGGCCTGGACTCTCCCCTCATCCTGGGGACCCCATCCTGGAGACCCCATCCTGGAGGCCTGAGCTCACCCAGCCCTGGACTTGAGAACACATCCGAGTTCTGGTGAAGCACAGCCTTGATCCCATGTTATCACTCGATGATCTCTCCAACCACTCCCTGCCTGTTCCTGTCACGTATGTGTTGTGCCTGCACATGGTCACGGCTCCAGTGACATGGGGCTGGAAGTGCTGCCTTGGAAGGGTTCATGTGGACCGCTGTGCCCTGGCCTCACTGCACTTTTGTCTGCAAGGCTTGGGATGCAGTGGCTTCTACAGCAGGAAATGAGACGATCTGACCTCTTTTTAGCAGAAAAGTTTTCCGGTGGTCACTTCTTGCCATCTTGTGTCCTTGCAGATGTCAGAGGAGGATGACAGCCCTGTGGGAAACAGGCCTGTGTATGGCAGCAGTCCTGTCCTCCGGGCAGGTTGCTGCCCTAGTGTGTGTAAGGACACCCCCAGTCTCCCAAAGTATCTCTGGGTTGCTGACACCCTTCACATCTGCCTGCCTGTGCAGGGCTCCTGCATGTGGCTTCTTCTGTGGACTTGGTGCTGAGTGGTCTGGGGATGTGCGTTTCCCATGAGCAGCACCTCTGCTCCATCCTGTCCTTGTGGGAATGCCCCCTGTTTTGAAAGACAGTTTGCTGGATGTCACGTTCTTGGAGAACACCTTTTCCCTCCAGAGCGTGGAAGGTGCCCTGCCTGTTGGGCTTCTGTGGGCACGGCTGAAGGCAGTGTGCAGAGTTTTTGTGCTGCATGCTGGGGCTTGCTCAGACGCTGACTGTGCCATGGGCGTGAGCCAGCCAGTGTGGGCCAGCCAGCGTGGGCCAGCCAGCGTGGGCCAGCCAGCGTGGGCCAGCCAGCGTGGGCCAGCCAACGTGGGCCAGCCCCTTGACTTTTCTGGTCTTTAAGCTGTTTTTAGCCATTGCTTCTGAGCTGTTTTTCTGCCTCTTTCTCTAATGTTTCAGTCTCCCCACAGAGCTCTGAGAAGGCTTGTTCTTCTTTGATCTCTGCCCCTCAGTCCTTCAACTGGTTAATTTGTATTAATCCACAAGGTTTGGTTCTTTCTTCTGGCATTCCAAACCTTCAGGTGGACCCTTAAATGTCAGCCCAGAGTTTTCACTTGTCCTAAGGAGCTTGTCCTCCCATCTTCCTTTGCTGTTCCCTCCCAATTCCCTCCTCCATCCCCTCCCCTTTTCTTCTTTCTGTGGTTTTGGGGATCAAACCCAAGGCCTTCATCCCAAGCTACTTCTTCTTCTTCTTCTTTTTTTTTTTTTGGGTGGAACCAGGGATTGAACTCAGGCCCTTGCGCTTGCCAGGGAAGCGCTTATTCTACTGAGCCATCTCCCCGGCCCCCAAACCAAGCTACTTCTTAAGCTCTTTTTTTATTTTTATTTTGAGATAGAATCTCACAGAGCCACTAAATTGCTCAGGCTGGGCTTGTAACTGTAATCTTCCTGCCTCAGCCTTCCAGACAGCTGAGCTTACAGGCATGTGCCACCATGCTCAGCCACGTTCTGTTTCCGGGTGAGTGAGATCCTGTTGCTGTTGGCCAGTGGCACATTCCTCTCCACTGCCTTTTAGGCCCACCTGGTGGCTTCGAGGTCTGTCATGCCACACCCGAGTTCTCCACGCAGTTCTGCTGGATCCTTGCTCCTCAGTGTGGCTCAGACCTTGTGGGTTCTCTGTGCGCTTGGAATTTGCCCTTGAATGCTGACAGCTAAGGCAGTGTGCTGCAGCCCCTGTCTTCTCGTTGTGCCCCTGGTGTGGGTGCCTCCTGGTTCAGTAACTCCTGGGACATACTCTGCACAGTCTGCTCCATCTGAGCTCCCAGCTCGACTCCAGCCATGAGCCTGACCCAGCCTCCCTTGCCCCTGAGCCAGCCGAGCATGTCCTGCCTGGGCATCTGTGCCCCCCGAGTTCCCAACCCCCACCGGCATCTCCACTGACCAGCGCCTCCCTACTTGCAGTGTCTGGCCGCCAGCTGCACCCAGAGGAGCCAGATGCAGAGGCGGAAGAGGACGCCTCTGTAAGTGACCTATCTCTGACTCCTGCCCATTCTCTCTGGGGACCTGGCAGAACCTGGCTGAAGCTGACTCATTCTTTCCTCCTGCCAGGTGACTGAGGGATCTGTGGGAGAGGACATCCGACCTAGGCCACAAGGGTCATCGCCTGTCTACGAATGCGTGACAGAGGGTGCCGGCTCTGGAGTCCAGGTGGGCCCTGCTGTGAGTGCCCCAAAGCTGGGCTCCAGCTGCCCTCTGCTGCTTGGCGTCCTGGGCACTCATCTTTCCATCTTTCTGCTGCTCTGCCAGCACAGTTCTGGGTGCGTGGTGTAGGGGTGCAGTGTCCCACCATGTGGGCACTTGTGGGCGCCTGTGGGCATCCCAGCCACTTCAGCAGGGGTGTGGGCAGGGACTCCCTGTGCCATGGGAGTGGCAACCCTGTGCCCTGGGCTGGGTGAGGGTGACAGCCAACCTCCGTGGCTGCAGGACAACGCCCCCAGCAGGCGAGGGTCCTCAAGGAGAAGGAGATCCTGGTGGAAGCGGGACTCGGGGGACACTTGGCCCTTCTCCAGCATGAGTCGCCCAGAGGTAGGTGTTTGGGGGCATGGGGTGGGGAGGAGAAGGCCAAGGTGTGGGGTTTCAAGGAGCTGCCAGCATCCAGGGACAGTAATAAGGCAGACCTTCCCTGGGGGTTGTGGGGCAGGAAGGTATCAGGTTCTGTGGGTGTATGGCTAGGGCTCCCTGCCTCTAGGCCACGCAGGCTGTACCCAGGGCCTCTGCTTCCCTTGGGGTTCTGTTTGGTTCACTGCTAAAGGAGGCCTTGGCTGTGCTGGTGGCCATGGACATGCTGATCCTATGTCCCAGCAGGGGCTGAAGACAAGAGGAGGCAGTTTCTGCCTGCAGCTACCTGTAGCTGGTTTCTTCCAGCCTGGGCCACCTGGCCAGTGTCCCCACTTCTGCCCTATGCTACGCAGACTGACAGACAGATAGTGCTGTCTTGGTCTTCTAAGGGTACCACCCCAGCAGAGATGCCCATGGGACTGTGCCGACTGAACCCTGGTGTGCTTCTGCCCAGACTGTGCAGGAGGCAACAGAGGTGACACTCAAGACGGAGGTGGAGGTGGGAGCCAGTGGCTACAGCGTCACAGGGGGTGGAGAGCAGGGGATCTTTGTCAAGCAAGTGCTGAAGGACTCCTCTGCAGCCAAGATCTTCAACCTGAGAGAAGGTCTGTCCATCTAGCCCTGGAGTCTTTCCCCATGGCAGGGGGTGGGAACGGGAGCACCTGGAGCTAGGGCAGCCCAGGTCTCTGCCCAGCTGCCAGGGCCAGGGTCCTCTGTTGCCTCACTCCTGAGAGGGGCCCTAAATGGGCACCCTGCTCTCCCTCCAGGTGACCAGCTGCTCAGTGCCACCATATTCTTTGATGACATTAAGTATGAGGATGCGCTCAAGATCCTGCAGTACTCAGAGCCATACAAGGTGCAGTTCCAAATCAAACGGAGGTTCCCTGTAGCTGAGGATAAGAGCTGGGCTCTGCACAGCCCCCAGCACCAGTCAGAGGACAAGAAGCAGGTGAGGCTGCCTGGAGAGGGTGCCATGTGGGCTGCCTCCCGCTGTGTCCATGGCCCAACAAATCTTTTCTCCCCCTGTTGTAGGGTAAAGAGGTTGTGGATGGGTGTGGTGAGACGCCCAAGAAGACCGTGGAAGAGGATGGAGACCGGGAGAAACTCATCGAGGAGCCCAGGGAGGTCCGAGGCAGGAGGCCCCGGGACAGACTCTCATGGCCCAAGTTTCAGGGCGTAAAGGGCAAGCAGCGATCCAGGCCTCAGCGCTCACACAGCTCCTCTGAGGCCTGTGAGCATGAAGGTGCCCGGGAAGTGTCACCCACCAGCACAGACACGGAGGCTCAGTTCCCAGCTGAGCACAGGGAGAAGGGGGCAGGCCAAGACAGCCAGAGGAGGAAGGGGAGACTCCTGAGCCTGGGGTTCAGGAGGGGTTTAAGGCCTGAGCCATCTGCCACAGGGCACCAGGACACAGAGGTACTTGGGGGACTGGATGCCAGCAGGGTGCTGGAAGAGAAGCTGGAAGACACAGGGGCAGGAGGTGGGAGCCAGGAGACAGCACAGATCCAAAAGACCAGGCCAGGGCTGGCCACGAAGAAGGCCGGGGATCCCATCAGCCCTGCACAAAGGGGAGGGGCCGCAGGAAGGCAGCAGAGGAAGAAGAAGCTGGTGAAGGCCACAGAGGAGTTGACAGGCCCAGCAGAAACCGGAGCCTTGCAGACCCTGGCGACAGAGAAAGATGATGAATGGGAAGATCTGACAAACAGCATCACAGAGCCATCATTTAGGGACACAGAAGTCACAGAAGGCACATGGACACAAGAGAAAGAAATCCAGGTACGAATCCATGCCATAAAGACACCCAAATTTAGCTTTTACTCAGAAAAAGCTCAAGAAATGGAAGACAAGACACAGAGAGGTCACACACATAAGACAGAAATGACATGCAGATCTCAGGCAGAACATGAGGCCAAGGGACAGGCAGAAATACAGGGGGTGTGCAAAACTCAGTGGGCCACAGGAGAGACAGAGCTAGGAGAGAAAACAGAATTCAGGGAGACACAATGGCAGAAAAAAGATGGCAAAGAGCCAAAGGAGATGGAGGAAGACAGGGGAGGATTCCAGATGAAGAAGAGCAGGTTCAAAATGACAGCATTTGGGTGGTCACCAACTAAGGAGAAAAAAACACAAAGACTGGAGAAAGAGGTACACAAACAACAGGAAAATTTCACACTGACAGATGCAGGAGATGAAACCAAGGGAGAGATGCTCAGCATTAACACAGCCAAAGAGGATATGAAGAGCCCAACGGTGGACCTAAAGAGAACCACAGCAGAAGGAAAAGAAACCAAGAGTGATATAGACCTGCAGGCCACCAGCACCGAGCTGCAGGGCGAGGTGTGCACCAAAGACAGCAAGTTCAAGATGCCCAAATTCAAGATGCCCTCCTTCGGCATGATGGCACCCAGCAAGACCACTGAGACCTCGCTGGAGGTGTCCAGGCCAAACTTGGAGGCCAACGTGTCCCCACCCACCTTCCAAGTAGATGTGAACACCCCTGAAGCCAGCGCTCCGCTGCCCTCAGCTGACATTGACCTGCAGTCTGGGCAGCTCGGCATTCAAATACCCGAGGGAGCCCTGCCCAAGGTGGAACTGTCCTCCACGGGCTCGGGAGTCCGCCTAAAGGGCCACCTGCCCAAGGTGCAGATACCCAGCATCAAGTTGCCCGAAGTGGGGCTGAAGGGGCCCAAGGAGGATGTGAAAGGCGCCAAAGGCTATCTCAGTGGCCACGAACTGGAAGTGTCACTGCCAGGTGCTGAGGTGGACCTGCAGGCCCCCAGCACCAAGCAGGAGGCTGAGGTGTCAGTGAAAGACAGCAAGTTCAAGATGCCCAAGTTCAAGATGCCTTCCTTTGGCATGACGGCGCGCGGCAAGACCATCGAGGGCTCACTGGAGGTGTCCAAACCCAAGCTGGAGGCCGATGTGTCTCTGCCCGCCGTACCAGTGGAACTGAAGACCCCTGACACCAGGGCTCAGCTGCCTGGTACCGATGTGGCATTGCAGGCCCCACAGTTAGGAGTGCAGCTGCCTGAGAAGCCACTGCCCGAGGAAGAGCTGCCAGGTGCCGGCCTGAAGGGACACCTGCCCAAGGTGCACATGCCCAGCATCAAGATGCCCAAGGTGGACCTGAAAGGCCCCCAGGTGGACATGAAGGGGCCCAAGGTGGAAGTGAAAGGCGCCAAAGGAGATCTCGGTGGCGCCGAGCTGGAGGTATCACTGCCTGGAGCCGAAGTGGACCTGCAGGCCATCAGCACCGAGCTGGAGGGCGAGGTGTGCGCCAAAGACAGCAAGTTCAAGATGCCCAAGTTCAAGATGCCCTCCTTCAGCGTGACGGTGCCTGGTGAGACCATTGAGACCTCACTGGTGGTGTCTGCACCCAAGCTGCAGGCTGACAAGACCCTGCCTGGCGTTCAAGTAGACCTGAAGACCCCTGAGGCCAGCACTTCGCTGTCCTCTGCTGACTTTGACATGCAGGCTGGGCAGATGGGCATAAAACTCCCCGAGGCAGCCCTGCCCGAGGCAGACCTGTCTATAACAGGCGCACGTTCCAGCCTGAAGGGCCACCTGCCCAAGGTGGAGATGCCCAGCATCAAGTTGCCCAAAGTAGAGATAAAGGGGCCCAAGGAGGATGTGAGAAGTGCCAAAGGTGATCGCAGTGGTCAAGAACTGGAAGTGTCACTGCCAGGTGCCGAGGTGGACCTGCAGGCCCCCAGCACCAAGCTAGAGGCCAAGGAGTCAGTGAAAGACAGCAAGTTCAAAATGCCCAAATTCAAGATGCCCTCCTTCGGCGTGACAGCTGCTGGCAAGACCACCGAGGACTCGCCGGAGGTGTATGCATCCAAGCTGGCAGCCGATGTGTCTCTGTCTGCCATCCAAGTAGACCTGAAGACCCCTGAAACCACAGCTTCGCAGCCTTCTGCTGACATTGACCTGCAGACTGGGCAGCTGGGTGGAGAACGGCTCATGGGAGCCTTGCACAAGGCAGAACTGTCCACCACAGGCTTGGAAACTGGCCAGAAGGGTCATCTGCCCAAGGTGCAGATGCCCAGCATAAAGAGGCCCAAAGTGGAGCTGAAGGGGTCCAAGGAAGAAGTGAAAGGTGCAAAAGGTGATGTCAGTGGTCCCAAACTTCAAGTGTCGCTACCTGGCACCGAGGTGGACCTGCAGGCCCCCAGCACCAAGCGGGAGGCTGAGGGGTCAGTGAAAGACAGCAAGTTCAAGATGCCCAAGTTCAAGATGCCCTCCTTCAGCATGACGGTGCCCGGCCAGCCCGTTGAGGCCTCGCTGGAGGTGTCCACACCTAAGCTGGAGGCCGATGTGTCCCTGCCCG